AAGATTATTCAACAAATTTTACACTGGTTGTCCATTACCTAATGCCAATGTTTAAAATTGCGTAATCGGGTATTGAGGCGTTTTGCATTCGTGAGGCGAGGCGTAAGCCTCAAGGCGTTTTGAGGCATAAGCCTCAAAATAATCGGGTATTGAGGCGTTTTGCATTCGTGAGGCGATGCGTAAGCCTCAAGGCGTTTTGAGGCATAAGCCTCAAAATCAAAAAATTACGTAAACATAAAATGATGCTAATGAGTAAATAATATATAAAACATAAAAATGCACAAAATATGAAGTGAAATCAAAATATTTAAATAATAAGACAACATGAAATATAGTTCAACTCAAACTCCATCTTTCCCAAATCACATTATCTTTTCATTAACATATAATTCCAAAAATAAATAGCAATGACATATCACATAAGAACTCAATAAGTCGTCAGCACTGTCATCACTAAGGGGTCTTCATTTAAATCATCATTATGATGAATTGCTCTCTCCCCTTCCTCTTTTCCTATAGAGTTCAATGTCTCCCAATCAGATTGTTCTTCGTCAATATCAGTTATCTTCCTCTTCCCTAAATATTTTTGAACAATCTCAAAATAAATAACAGTGTAATACATTAATAAAAGTTTAAGAATACAATATTATTTATATACTTTTTTTTTCATTTATTCTTCAGTTGTGGTGGATATAGATGCTTTAAAACCATAAAAAAAATCAACATTTAAATCTTCATCTTGTAATTCAGACGGAATTACTTTAACTTCATCATCTACAAACCACTCAACATCAGATGTCACATCCTCGCAAAGCAAAGAATCTTTATCATCCATTAATCTTTTTTTTCAAACTCCTATCTCTGAGTCTTCTATTGTACATAATATACACCAATGAATTCATCCTCAATGCGGACAAACGATTTCTCCTCTTTGTATGCACTTGAGTGTAGGTACTCCAATTTCTTTCACAGCCAAATGAAGAGCAAGTCAAGCCCAAAACTTTCACAACAAAACGCTGCAATTCTGGAGGCCCATCACCAAATTGAATCCACCACTCAATTAATATTTATATAAAAGAGTTTAATTAGTGTGAAAAAATAACTTTTAAATAAATGTTAAAAATATTAAATAAAATTACCTAGAGATCGTTTGACAATTGTATCATTTGCTTGTTGTAATTAAAAAAAAACTTTGTTCCTAAAAAGTATCAATTGTATGTCAGCATTTGATCTTTCAGTTGCATCACTTATTAGCCGATCCATGCAATGGTATAATCCCAACTTTATTTTAGGGTTTGTAGACTTGTTGTCTACATATTAATACTGAGGGTTTAGATAATAACCAGCTGCATGCAAGTGCCGGTGAAGTTGTAGCTCTCACCTATCATCAATAATATTCTAAATTTCCCTAAAGTTATCCTCTTCGCCTCCTAAGTTGGAGGCAATCATTTCTTTGGCTTCATCCATGATATTGTAGATGAAACTCATTGTAGGCTTCTTCTTAGCATCCACCATCCTTAAAACTTAAACCAAAGGTCTAGTGATTGTAATGACATATAAGATACTTTGTCAAATCTATCATTTAAAATAATCTTTCTAATCTCTTTTCAATCAGCCTTCTTCGCCTAAGCACAACTCAACCTCTGTGTAGATGTGAACATAGCCTCTAAAGATTGTATAGCATCCAGCATGCTCTCTAAGATCAAGTAAACGATGACAAATTTTGTTGTTGTTGGCCTTAGAATTTCTTTCTTTGAAAATTTCCTCATAAGAGATAGAAATCAAGAGTGGTTGTAAATAAACTTGGTTATTTCTTTTGCTTTAGTAAGTGCATTCTTATGCGAGATAGCTACCCAAGCTTCTCAAGAATCAGATATATGCACTATGCAGCACATGGAGTACAGTACAAATATTTTCTCTTCTTCATAAATTTGTTACCTGCAGCCTTGTAAGCAATTGCATTATCTATTACAACTTGTACAACCAAATATTCTCCAACCTCATCAACAATGTTATCTAATAATTCAAATATGAACTCAACATCTTTGACCTGATCAGATGCTTCAACTGACCAAAAAACACAATACCATAAGGATTATTAATGAGAATGTTGATCAGACTTCTATGTTTGATATCAAACCACCCATCTAACATAATTGTTACTCCTGTTTGGGCCCAAATTCTATTAATTTCTTCGATGCTTTTATTAGTGCTTTCCAACTCCTTCAGAATCCATGTTCTCAAATCATATATGGTTGGAGGTCTGAACCCTCTCCCAAATGCTCCAACTGAACGAATCATGTTGTAATAGGCAAGTGATATTGCAACATTAAATGGAATTGCATTTTTGTAGAAGAATCTGCCTATATCCTTACACTCTTCTCCGTGCCTCCCTTGCATTTTTTGGGGCCATCTTCTGTGTAATAGGAGGCCTATCCTCTGATATATCCATCATATAATAATCCATAGGCCCTCTAGCACCCCTAGATGAAATGAGCTTCATCGAAGAAGATTAATCCCTAACGCTGTACTCACTCTCGTAGTAAGAGCCAACATCAACTCTGTCCTCAAATTGCTTCTGTGTAAGATGTTTTGTTTTTCCATGTTGGATCTTTTCTATGACCTGATGCAATTTTATCCTTACTTATGATCATCATTTATGAGAAGAATATATTAGTGCAATATATCAAACCCCTAAACATAATGCTTCACTTATTCTACATTAAGAAAATGTATACAAAGCATGCACTCATGAAGAACTAACACTAATAACTATTACTAAAGATGATGAAAACAACAATATACCTGCCGGGGGTCCAAGTGGGAGCTGCCCCCTGGCAGGCTTCGACCTGTTGTTTGGAAAGATATCGAGCGGTATCGAGCATATACTTAGCGGTACCGAGCATGTACCTGCTCGGTACCGAGCATGTACCTAGTGGTACCAAAAATTGATGTACCGAGTGATACCGAGCATGTACCTAGCGATATAAAACATGTACCTAGCGATATCAAACATGTACCTAGCGATACCGAGCGATACCAAGCGGTACCGAGCAGACAGACCGATGGAAGGAACCACAAAGAAGAAGAGCTTTCAGTAGTTGGTCGAAGGGGACTCCAACCCAACTCGCGATAGAAGATAACTCCAAGAAATAGGCAAAGAGCAACTCACGGTGGAAGGAAGCCGATGCCGAACGAAGAAGGAAAAGGTCGCTCGAAGAAGAAGGGAGAAAACCTGTTTTCGGGAAATGACGGAGGACCGCACGAGGGTTGGGGGGTTCGAACCGAACAAATATATATTATGTTAGTTTTTTTTTAATTTTTAGAGGCAGACACCTCTAAACCGTGAGGCGAGGCGCGCCACAGTAAACTTGAGGCGTACGCCTCAAATCCTGAACTCATTACGTGAGCTTTGAGGTTTAAAGAGGCGAAATTGTGATAAGGCGCGCCTCTTATTATGCAATTTTAACCATGCCTAATGCAACCCTCTACTTTTCTCATCTAGGGCTTTGGACCTGACAATAATATTGTTATGGAACCCCAACTGAACCAGGTCAAAAATTGAATGCAAATCAAGGAAAAGTATATATGGGAGAAAATTAAATATTAATTGGAAAAATGATTTATAGTTAATTCATCTCACACTATCTACACATCACATTTGTAGGAATTTCATTAGTTAATTCATGTATAAACTCAAATAGTATCACCTTCAAACGGCTTATGAAGACCTCATATTTCTTAAATCAAATTCTAGTAAAAGAATCTACTATCAAAAGAAGGATACTTCAAAATTCAAGGGTATACTAATGAACACTATGCAGGATCATCAGTGAATAGAAAATTCATAATTTAAACTCTAGTTTTTTAGAGAAAATCTCAGAACATGGAAGAGCAAAAAAGCAACCTATTATTTCAAGATCTAGCACTAAGTTTGAATTTAGAGCTATTTTCCATGGTATTTACAAGCTTTTATGGATCAAGATTTTTTTGAAAGATTTAAAAATCACATTAGAAGAGAAGATACACTATGATAATAAATATGTCATCAACATTGTTCATAAGCAAACCCAACTTGATCATAATAAGCATGTGAAGGTCGATAGATATTTCATAAATAAAGAAATTAAGTGAGTTAATCTGCACTATATATATGCCAATAAGAAATCAACTTGGAGACATTCTCATCAAAGGACTTTGAAATCCCACTTTCAAAAATACTTTAAGCAAACATGGAATGATAAAATTATAACATTTAGTTTGAAAGGGATTATTGAAGGATGATGGGACCCACAAGTCAACCAAACTTGATATGAATCCTTGAGCATACAATTAAGCTCAACATTTTATGGACCTTAGATTGTAATATATGCAGCTTTTCCTATTCTATAAGCAATAGTCCCTCTTGGAAACTTTTTTCCTTTTTTTTTTTTTAATAATTTTGATTTATTTCTATTATAAGCCTTTCATAAAAGTCTATAAATACTTCCAAACTTTTCTATAGAATCAAATAATAAAATTGAAAGTAGTTTCTATACTTTCCTTCTTTCTACAATATATATTAAATATAGTGATGATGACATTTTCAAAAAGCTTAGAAATGATTCTGAAGGACTTGCACACACTAATAAGACTTCATAATTATGCAAGTAGACCAAAACAGGAAGATTGCTTTGGATATGGTCAACTGACAGCAACTAGACAAATGCAACAAAGCAAAAGAGAATTTCTCAACACTTACCAGAACATGATAAAGAGAAGCATAATCAAAATTCAAAAGCTTAAATTTACAGCGCATGCTTCCTGATATATTTATATTAACTTTTTCATATGCACTATATAAGCAGATAATATTAAAAAAATAAAAAAGGAATGCAAAAAAAATTACATAAAATTTTCAATCAGAAGAGCGAGTAGGGACACAAGTTGTGTAAACCAAGAAAAAATAAACAAATACAATAAATGGCATGTAAATAAACTGATTATACAAAAATAATTACCACATGTACAGCAACACCTCCACGCTTCTTCTCTGAGTTGAAAGGTACAACATTTAGAATTGATGTTTTAGACCTAGTGTCATCAAACTTCATTCCCAGCTATAGAAATGGGAAAATGAGAATCAGCAGTACATTAAATATCATCTCGAACAAAGAGCATAAACAGCATATCCATAATCCAATACCTTAACAGCCCAAGAAAGTATTGCCTTTTCAGTAGGGGAGCCAGTAACTTCGACAAGGCCACCATCCTAGGAACAACAAAAATATATGTAGTTATAAACAGCCTCATGGAGTATTCATCAAAGTCATTTATGAGCTACAATAATTAATAGAAGAAATATAAGCAGCTGATAAAAATCATAATAATGTTTTCATTGATTTTAAAAAGGCAAAAGATAGAATATCATGAGAATTTATTTAGCAAACATTGAGGAGAAAATGTGTAAAAGCTATCTCAAATTCGTAAAGAATACATGTAATGGAATAGTAACAACCATTATAAATAGGTGTAAATATAGAATTTCAAATTTAAGTTGAGTTACATCAAATATTAGTATTAAGTTAGCATCATTTGGGAGTTGCTTATTGAAATATTAAAAGATAGCATCTTCCTGCACATTAATTCAAATAACCTAATTTTGTTTAATACTACATCTTTTAAGTAAAAATTTTAACGTTGAAATATTACAGCGTAAGAAAGCCTAATTTGGTTGAACAATGACACATGGTACATGATATACTAATATGTGAAATTCTAACTTGTCAATGAATAGAATTGGAAGATTGAGTGGTAAAAACTAATAAATTTAAGTACATTAGAAGTACTAAATAAAAAACAATATAAATATATAGGACATCTTCTAGCATTAAAACTAGGTGGGTATAGTAGAGACACGTCTTTGAAATATTGTGTGAATTGAAGATTTTATGTAGATTGAAAATAAATTTTTTAATAACTGTAACTAAACCAGCAAAGCTATATTTGATCTTGGCAATGGAAACAAATATAATACTAATGCACAAATAAAGCACCCTAAAATAACAAATTTGAGGTAAAACTTCTAAGAATAGAGTTGGAAATCATTATAGCAGGAATAGACATCAACTATCAAATTATTTGAAAAAGAAGTGAAATTTTCCATCAGAAAAATATGTCACTTGACCTCTACCTCATACACAAGTTATTTGAACAAGGGTGAAGGGCTTCAATAAAAAAAAGGTTACCTCTGGCTCATACACATTGCCAGTTGTATTCTGAGCAATGCTTTCATACAATAAAGAGTATACTGATGAGGGTAACTCTTGACCATCATCCGGAGAAGTTAGCTTTATCCCACCCACATAAGCTTCCACAACCGTCATCTAAATCATTACCATAAAATCAATTAGAACTTAAGATGACCATGTATAATAGGATAACATATGATTAATCTACTCAACTACCATTAATAGTGTCACTCTAGAAATCATCAGAAGCGAAACTATCTAATTTCTAAAACTAAAATCCCAAGGTAAATTATACTACAATAATAATAATAATAATATGATGGAAGCATAGACAATGAAACCTGATTCAATGTTAGAGTTCCAGTTTTATCACTGCAGATGGTAGTGGCAGATCCCATTGTTTCACAAGCTGATAGCCTCCGAACCTGTAACATAGCAACTTAATAATAGCAAAACGTATGGATTCTATTTTGACAAGAAGAGAAGCATACCAATGCCTTGTCTGCCATCATCTTCCTCATTGAGTAGGCAAGACTGAAATTGGGAATATCAATTAACCTTGAGAAACATGAAGAACTTAACAGTCTTATCAAAAAGAAATGAATACAATCAATACTTACGTCAATGTAACAGCCAATGGAAGACCTTCAGGTACAGCAACGACAACAATAGTCACCTATTATAATTCACAGGCTGCTTAGTAACTAGAATAACAAGTTACAAGTTTGTTATATAGATACATACCGCAACAGTCAAAATCTTAACAGCTCCATTTATAGCATCTTTCACACTTGTGTGCCCCTTGACAAATTGAACGCTTCCATTAGGATTCTTTGTATGACCAGTGAAGAATCTGTAAATTATATCTTAAGTCTTCAGTTTGCAAGATCTAAAATTCTTAAAACTCATGCACACATGGATGCACATAGTTACAAGTTCCACTAACCTGACTATAAGGACAACAAGAACCAACGCTGCAATAGAGAGACCTACTATGCCAATTAAAGTAGCAACACCATTCAAGCGCACCTTTCCAGAGGAATCATAAATGAATCACATAGGAAAAATAGTATAATCATAAGCAAATCATTAATAAAAAGGGCCACAAAAAAACCTGCAATGGAGTTTCTTCACCACTGTCTTCCGATATACTTGCCATCAATAATCCCCATTCAGTATTAATACCCACAGCAGTCACCTGCACGCAGAATAATTTAGAAGAGACATATAGGCAAGTAAAAATAATAACAGGAAAATACATTAAGAATCAATACATGTAATATAACATCCAAGGCATAATTACATGTAAATATGCTTTTTGTAACTCTAGAGTGAGAGAAGTGAAGTTTCAGAGAGAGAGAGTAAGGGATATAAACCAGAAGCAACCATGCCCCTATAATATGAAATCAGCATTAAATGTCATTATCATCACTATAATTATACTAATGCCCACTATTTGAGGCAAATGTATCAGTATAATGGCAAAAACCCATTCACGTTCGTTATAGAGAAAAGAAGAATTCAATTCCAAAAAATTTAATTTCCTCATGGAATTTTCTAAACCCATCCAAAGTTACAGAACCACCATAGGGATATCCAATTAAATAATAGCATTCAAATAATGCTAACAATGAGCTCTTCTAGAACTTACCTGCTTCTAATTTGAAATAAATGTCCTGGTTCATGTAAAGCTGAGATATCAGCTACCAATTATTCTAAATTTACCGCAAAAAGTTTGCAACCATGACTCCTTAAATCATGACAAGTTCATAGCATGCTTTAAAACAAATTGGCTAAAAACTACTTGTGGTTTTATTTGGGTCTCTTATCAGGAATAATTTGTTCCACCAATTATAAGTACTCAAGTCACAATGCTAGTTTAAAATATAGGTCAATCATCTCCTGCAGCATCTATTGGATTGAGTAAATGCACCAAGCAACAATAGAATTAGAGATTTTTTTATAATCCCCACACTGCTATTCTGCAAGATACAAGAGAAAAAAACTTACAAGCATAATCCCATAACCATCAGCAACTTTGCATCCAGACATCAAAAATGGTGTTTTGAGATCCTTATGCGCCTGCAACAAAGAATTGAAATAATTTTGTTAGTCCAAAGAATGAGAAATATACAACAACAACAACATCAACATCAACATCAAGCCTTTATCCCGACATGTGGGGTCAACCACATAAATCATTTTTCTTCGTTGTGTCCTATTAAGAGCCATTCTTATTTAAATATAATAAAAAAGATCATTTATAATGCTTTCTAACCAAATCTTTTTAGATCCACCTCTACCTTTCTTAACATAGGCCAAATTTAATACATCTATTATTCTAACCAGGTCAGCGAATGGCTAATATTTTATGTAACCAAACCATCTATGATGACTCTCTAATCTTCTGTTCCACTAGAGCTACTCCAACCTCTTCACGTATATGCTCGTTTGGCATTTTATCTCCAAGTATAAAATCATTCATCCACCTGAGCATCCTCATCTCCACAACACATAATTTTGTGCTTCACTTTTAGTGACCAACAAGTGATGAGAAATAAAATAAGGAAAAAAATTCACTTAGTAAGACCACATCTGGAACCATTTTTCATGCGAGTGTTTACTATCTTCTAGTTTTACGAAACCAAAATCTAAAAAAAAAAAAAACGTTGGGTTGAACTCAAGTGCTTCCTATATTTTTATAAGAAAATTGGCTTGTTACTAGAAATTCAAGAAAAGCACTCTTTTACTAAATCATCCATACATGAATATTAAAAAATGACATTGCTAATAAAATTAATACACTTTAAAGAATTAATTTATTTTCTAATATTGTTTATGCCTAGTGAGATAAAGGCTTGATGATGTTGTTGTTGCCGAAAATTGTTTAGTATAGAAGCCTATTAAAATCTCAATTATATGATGTAATACTAAAAAATCAAAAAAATTCCTAATTAAAAACATACCCACATGCTAAATTAAATTTAATATTAAGAAAATGAAATGATATAACATACTACACATTTATAAATTAGTAAAATTACAATGATCAAGATAAAAAAAAGCTAAAGATATAATTATTACTAAATAGTTTATTTACAAACTAACTTTCTAATTATACGTAAATAAAAAATATTTGTACATCAAATATATTACTTTTTTTTGCATCAACAGTAATTTTACATATTATTTATTGTAATTATAAGATTCAATGGATCGATTATATCTGTACATACATTAAGGATTTCATGTTTACAACTTCAATAATTTTACAAATTCATTAGTTATAATTATTAGACGCATAACATGTTTGATAGAAAAATATAACCAATTCTAATTGGTAACATAATTTTCATATTATTAACTTATTCTAAAGTTATAGAAGATGTTAGTATTTTAATTGTTCCTATATAATTTCAAATATGCTTATGTTTTAATTAAATTCAATATTAACCTTAAGTCTAAATAAAAGGAAAACATTTCTTTACTGATGAGACTATGTAGTGAATAATTATATCTTTACATCCATATAAGATTTGAAATTTGTTCTGTCCCCAAGATATAAAAATTAAAAAGGAAATTATAACTAAAAAGGAGAGCAAAAAATATTGCTATTCAACATTAACCTAATTAACTCACAATTTTACTTTCTCCTGTCAGGCTTGATTCATCAACCGCAAGAGAATGCCCCGAAATTAAAATTCCATCAGCAGGAACCTGGGAAGCAAATATCAGTTACAGTTAATTGTAACAAAATAATGTAGGAAAAGAACAACATAAAGCAAAAAATAGCTTTTTCCAAAATCCTACCTGGTCGCCAATCTTCAGTGGAACTAAATCACCAACAACAATATCAAATATTGAAATTTCAACCCTTCTGCCACCTCTAATGACCTGAATAACATGAAGAACACATGCTATATTTCTAAAAAATTATCTTAATAAATATGATAGTTTTAAATAAAAGCATTTTCATATTCATTTATAACAAACCTCCAAATGTATGTTCCGTTTCTCTTCATTGAGGCTTTGGAATTGAAGAGATTGTTTATAATCGCTAATCGCTACAAGAAAAATAAAAGAATATTCATTAAGCAATTAAACGGTGAATTCCTTAGCATAAAGGAAACTTCCCAGAGCTAACCAACCGAAATTTTATTAAAGGGGTTATTCTACTAAAAAGGTAAACCTATCGTAATTAAAATTGCAAGAAAAAAAAAATTTATAGCACACAAAAGTTAGTAACAGGAACTATGATCTCCTAAATAAGGCAACGCACAAGGACGAGTAATACATGAAGTCAACCGACTGGAATATTTAGAATTCAATGCCAGTTTTTCCAACATAGCACATGTGTAGGACAAAACCACTGTAATATAAACCAACAATATATATCGGGATATTTGTATAAAACTTTTTTAAGTTTGGTATTTGGCTCAAAAAGAGTAATAATTTCAAATGTTCTGCAAATAAGGACAATAATTATCCTATTTCACAAATAAGGACAATTAACCCTGACATCATATTAGAATTTCTTAAAACCCTAGCATAACACTAGTTATACTATAAGATTTCTCTTGTAGCCGAATTGCCATGAAATGTGATTTCAAATTTTAATAACAAAGTGTTATGGTAATTCTAGGTTTTATAACAAAACTAATAGTATTATCAAGATTTCAAGGAACTGAGCAAAAGGCCAAGGTTCGTTATCCTTATTGTGACATTGGGTAAACGATTGTACTTTCTTGAAAACAAAAGAAAAAAAAGAACTTTATAGAAACAATTGTTAATGTAAAGATCGTCTGAAAAAACTTCATGATTTGCATATAAAAAATTTTTGGAATTAGCAAGTAAGAAAAACAATTATTTTTACTCCAGAGAGGTTTAATTTTACCACCCCAAAGTCCACATGATGGGATTTATTATAGCATAAGATAAGGTTCAAACTTAAAATCTTGGCAACAGCTTGAAAGCCCTTAACCTACCGAATTAGGTGGGACCTATTACTTCAGAGAGATTATTTATCTTATGGAAGAATAATTTTTTGTTTCAAATATACCATAAATAAAATTGTTGCATTGCAATTACCATTATCTTCAGCAAGTTCGTGAGCTTATCATTTTTAAGGATTTCATATCAACTAAATAAAATAATTGAAATGATAAAATGTTGTGATTGCTTGTGAAGAGCAAAAAACTCCTCCCTCGAACCACCATTATGTTTATGAGAGAGAAACTTGAGAAGGGTTTTTTCTAAGATAGATTAAATTTGTTTAATGAAAATTTCCATGATGTTTTGTCAAGGTTTATTTAAAATTGAGATCAAAACTTCCTATCATATATGAGAGTAAGACTCCACAGTTAATTATCCCATACATTTGAAAAAATTCACTCTCAATTAAGGAGACTATTTAGACTCAATATTAATATCGAATAGGAGGTAAATTGTGAATTTAACTAACTGGAGAAAGGTTAAGATAATTGATGTAGACTTAATCAAGATTTTATGATTATTTCACCTTGGATTATCTAGGACTCAATGTATCAATATCAGAGGCATTTAAATATAACATCCAAGGAATATGGCTGGGAGCCATGGATTGCCTCCAAAAATAAACTTAGTGAAAATATATGTCAAAGACACACCTTCAAGATTGAAATTAACTTACTATCTAAGGTAGGTCATACACATTTCAGAGAATAATACAAAGGCACACTGCATGATCACTTGCAATTCAAAAGTATTGCACATGACTGAAAAGAGCTTTCAAGCATGACGTGATCATCAATTATTCATGAGTTTACTCTCGATTTTAAAAAAACATATATAATAGACGGGTTTAAGTTGTTCCTCTGATCATAGGGTATAGGATGGGGTCGTGGTAAACCTAGAGACAGATCGTGACAGGATTGGGAGAGAATGCTCAAGAGACAACAAAGTATAACGTGGAGGACTCCACATGAGATTCATAGGGGGGTTGCATATGGAACATCATGATGGGGTCGAGGATAAAAGAATTATCTTTTATATAATAAATTCTTTCTAGTTTTTTAGTAAGATCTGCATCTGTGGATAAAATATATAGCTAGCCGAAAAGGACAAATGCATTATAGATGGAAATCTTATAAGTAGTTGGTTCTTACATAACTTCCCGTATGAGTTGCATCATCATTTTTTTAAAGATTATTTTGTGCTAAAATAATTTATAAACAAAACTTTCATTGCATGCATACATTTGAACAAATCTAGGGATCAAAATAACAATTTATAATTTATACACGTATTCATCTTCTTTTTTTTAATGTTAAAAATAAACAAGCAAATATCAACGGGCCTTTGATATCAATAAATAAATAAACTGATGATTGTTAGGGTGGGTGAGGAGGAGAGGAATGTAATAATCAAAATAGCCTACCTGTAACCAGAATAACAAGTATAACAGCAAAGGCAATGCTTCCACCATCGTACCATCCTTCTTTGAGACCCTAAATCAAATAGATGATGCAGAAAAAAATATAAGTAAACACAAATAATTAGAAAACCTAAACCGTACACAGAATTTCTTGAATTTCCTTCCTAAGCTGTATTCAACAAAAAGAACACGATTTTACCACACGACAATTTTTAAAGTTAACCATTCTTTTTTTAACCATGCCAATTTATGCTTTCCCAGGCCTTCAATAAAAAACTCCAATTTTACACTTCATTTATGCTAATCATTCACAGGATGTCATCATTCACAAAACTGACACCCTTTCAGACAAGTATGAGAGGCAAAATTACATGTAAGTTGGTTATTCTATGATATAGATTCACAGGTAAGAACTTCATTCCAGAGATGCATTCACATTTTTGCTACAGGTCATGTTAATAGGTTTATAATGCAGCCATGGCTATGAAAAGGATTCATCTTTCAAGAGCATTTCAAATCAACAAGTTTTCGATCTCCAGTTTTAGCATGACTTTAAGGCCTCAGTTGGTAATGCTTTTTTGGCAGTCCTGCATATCAAAAACCAGACCCATGGCTTCGTGACTAGGCAACACACTTACTAAACAACTTGTCCATCTTTATTTCTATTTAAATAACACAGCAAAACATGGCCAAACGAAACCTAGCTTTGAATCATTAAGTTGGTCTAAAATGCAGCCGTGTTGCATATTGCACTTCCCTGGCCTAATGGATACTTTCCAACTTTCATCTTAGTCATCTGAACCACTTCAATAAAGAAATTTCTCTAAATCTCTTTTATCATAGAATATTAATAAAGCGTGTTCAGAATGTCTGTTAAGATTGGCAGTTGACATGATCAAAGGGACTTGTTTGAAATACACTCTGGTCGTATTGAAGAAGCTGTCCTTAAGGAAACCATTAATGCCAAATAGATCGAAATTTTATGCAACAAGGCTGACAACTTGGAAAAGAATAATAAAATAAGATAGACGTACCTCTGTTTTTATGCCCAAAACTAAGGATATAACCGAAGCTATTATAAGGATTATAAGAGTTAGATCTTGACAAGCTTCCCAAAGGAATACCTGTCCATGAAAAGGCAATTTTCATAAAATGTCAAATAAATCATGAAGGCAAATCAATGAAAACTGTAAGGAGTTGGCATACAAAGAAGCTTCTTCCTTTCTTTTGAGGATATGTATTGGCCCCAAATGCATTTCTCCTGCGCAATAATTCTGCATCATCATCTCCAACAATTCCTTTTTCTAAATTAGTCTTCAACAGACTTGACAAGCCTTTTACCTATAGAGTCAAAGAATAAGATATCTCTGATGAATAAGATCATAATAAAAACCCATAATTGTTAGGAATACTTGCCCCTCCATACTGTTGCAGTGCAGACAAATCATGATCTCTGGTCATTGCAGTGAGCTGCTCAACCCCAATCCCATAACCACCACCAGGTAGCGCTGGTACTGTACCAGGTATGCCTATAGATAATAGCAAATCAAACATAAAAAAAGCATGTCAATCAGAGACCTAGCACGCAACAAAAAAATAGCAACTAGACAAGATAGAAGTGCTAATTTTTTTCCAGAATTGCAAAGAAAATATATCACACTTGGTTTTAAAAGTAACTGTTTGAAGTCATGTTAGTGGGGATAAAAGTAAAGATGATAAAGATATCATCATCATTAGCTTTATCTGAAGGATTTGGGATTGCTATAATGCACAATACTTTTCCTCAAAGAGGTATGAAGTGTTTGACACACGTCTGACACGCCTTTAACAATTGTTAGACACGCAAAAGATGTGTCTGATTAAAAAATAATTAAAAATAAATTGAATGCATGTGCCCAACATGCCTGTAAAAATATTTTTTTTTAATATAATTTATTGTAGTCAAATTTTATTTAGTAAAAAAATAAAAAATAGATTTCTTATTTTCCCTCCAAAAAAACCAAATCAATCCCCCACACTCGATATCTCATTTCCAGAACATTCCCATTTTCATTTCTCTCCGACAAGTTGTGGCTAGGGTTTCACAACAATGCTCAATGTCATCTCAATATCAATGTCCAATGCCATCACAACATCAATATCTCAAAACCATCTCAACATTATGTTAACATTGGAGCTCATTACCAACAATTTCTACACCCACAATCGCATCCTCAAACCATCTCGGCATCTCATAATTGTCCAATGTCATCTTAACATTGATGAACAACGTTACCTCAAGATAAATGACCGACACCATCTCGAAATCAACACCCGATGCCCATTACAAAACAACGATGCCCAATTGATAAGAGCATTGTCTTCTCTCCTCTCAATGTCTAACACGACATCGACATCCAACATTAGACATCCTAATATTAATTATTTTAAGTACAAATCATAGTTAAATTACTTATTATTTTTTAATTATTCTTAATATTTTATTTATTCAATTTTTATACACATTTTAAAATATAAAAATTATAATATTGTGTATAACACATGTCCATATTTTATATTTTCAATAATTTATGTGTCACATGTATGTGTCTGAATCAGTGGTGTGTCCGTGTCTATGCATCATAGGGGATTGTCTTATGAATCCTCATTATTTTCAGTTTGCTCTAATCGACTATTGTCAAAGTTGTTGAACCCACTCTTCAAAAATTATTTTGAACAGCTTATACCAATGTCATCTTGCATAGTTACGATCATGCATTCTCATTATGAATCCTCCGGTCTTAATTTCATCTACTTACATGACAATTGAATATATTTTATACCCTTGTACATTTTCAAAAACCAACATTATTCTAAAAAACGCATCTTCAGATGTCACTAAATCATTCCTCTAATTTAAAAATATCTTAATTTCTCATGTTTAATTCGCCCACACAACTATATCATCATTCTCCTTTCCACGACGCTTAACTTTAGTTGTAGCTCATTCTCCTTTCTATCCTACTAATGAAGGTAAAAATGATAATGATTTAAATAATAATAATTAGCATTATCATTATCATTAGGGTTTTTAGGGTTATTACAATAATTATGATGAACATAACAATGCAAATGCATACATAGAAAAAAAAAAATGTAACTTCTTTCAAATTATAGGGTTTAAAGAAGAAAATAAATATGATCGCACTACATCATTGAACACATGTTATTTCAGCAAAATAAGAAGAGAAACTATAGTCCAAATTAGATAAAACAAAATATTATATTTTATTAATAAAAAGAAAAGAGTTTAAGCTTCTCAAGAATTAAAAAAACATCAAGAAGATAAGTATGTATGATGAACAGTGAACCACCTGGTGCCTTGCTTTCAGCCGCTTCTTTGAATAGAAAAGCTGCCTAAGAAATTTCAAAATAATAATAATGAGCAAGATAACGTTAAAGTTATTCAACTATATTCTATGTAAAATAAATACCCGTATGACTTGAGCATGTGCTCGAATCTTCCTCCTAATCTGCTCTTTCTCTTCCTCCTTTTTTAGATCCAAGGTATATCTAAAGCGACGAGAGGCATTGAGCACAAGGGCCGCTTGCTGTCAAGTAGTGATGTTAAATATTCATATCCATATATTAAATACAATTAAGAGTTTCCTCTTATCCCACAAATAAAAGAAATTTAGGTAATACTCTTTTAAACAGAAACACTACAAAAAAAATTATAGTAGTTATGTTGGAGTTCCTCTTAACTCACTCGAAAATTGAAGGCATAGCATGCTAGCTAAAACACGACCATATTTTCAACAAAATGTTAGCATTCAAATTACCTGTTGAATAGCTAATTTGATGTATACGATGTATGACATAATATCACGTGATAGACTACAAAAAAAAAAAAAGTTGTAGGAAGAAAATTTCCAAGAAAACTGAATATATATATATATATGAATTTTGTAATAGCATCAAATTAGCAACCTGGATTTGATAAGTACATCTTCAATTTTGAAATAAGAAAGTCATAAGCTCCCCAAAGGTTCTTTTATTGAAACAAATAAGATTATACCACTAAACTATCTAATAAAAGAAACTTTAACACAAATCAACAGGTCAACAGGAGAGCACAACCTTGAATGGAAAAACACTGATAAGCACTGTCTAGAGAACAACAAATTCCTATCAATGTTTTCCTCAAAGAAATCCACACATAAACCTTATTTTCTTGTTTCCTTTGCTCTAAGCTGATGTAGATATTGGTCCAACCAATTTTATTTGATCAGCTTGGGCACAAGAAGCAAGAGAATTGATTTTTTATGGGTGGCTTTCTTTAAGGAAATGGCTCATCTCCATCCATTTTCACAATGAGATTTGTATTCATAAATCTCTCCAATTGATAGAGAACGGCTGTTTTCTATGGTATTTTAAAGGTTTAGCTTAAATCCTTACAAACAGTTGGGGGACTTAAGGTTCTAATATTTGATAAATCCCATTTCATTTTCATTATTGATTAAATCCATGATTTATTACTCCCGCCATTCTACTATTCACAAAATTTAATCGATTAAAAGATTATCATCCACAAAACTCATAAATCTTATAACAAATAGCCAAACAATTTATCAGAAAGTAGGAAGCTTTTGCAATTGTCAAGACAAATAGTTTCCATGTTTTAATCCACTAAAGATTTACTAAATATTAATTTATAGGAATAAATAAATCCTATTTGTAGCCACACAGCCCCTTAGGATGACACAAATCATAATGCAAAATAAATGGACATAAGACATCCTTCATACGGTTTTTTTATAAATCCTTAAATGGATTTTGTCTGATTTCTTTGTGTCGTGGAGCATACCTCGTCTGACTAGTCCTCATTCAAAGGTCAACAGACACCCTTTGCTTGTTATGCATTAAAAAAAAAGACGAAACATATCAATCCCTTCAAGAAAAAATTTCAGTAGAAACTCATGGCAAGCTCAGACCATGACGTTAAATGTCCATCCCTAACTAATCATCAAATTCGCAATCACGCTCACTCTTAGACCACATAGAACAGCAAGGGAAACTACAAACAGGCCATTAAAAACGAATACCCTACCGAGGAAGACCTTAAAACAATTCCCAAAGTACGGATAACGCGAAACGCAGCAATAGCCCAGGCAAATGAGTTGCTAAATCAAAACTTATCTCAACAACAACCAAAAGGCGCAATGCTAAAGAACATTAATAAGAAAGTGAAGCAGCATTGAGGAAACATCATACATACCCTCCATCTTCGCAGCCGCTCGATAGGTGCATTCTTGGACGGAATGTCAAATGCATCATCAGAGACGCAGATCTCGTCGCTATTCTGCCCCTCCCCGCCATTCCCAATCTCCTCGTCTCTATGCCGGACGTACCTGTTCGGCGATGCCATGTCCATTCTACCCCGTCGCAGGAGAGATGACACCGACCCCTCTAATCTTCTACACAAGCCAACCTCCTATTAGATTGATTGAGGAATACATAAAAATTAAAAATAAAAAAAAAACAAGAAAATCACGGCAGACAGCAAGCAAAACAATGCAGAGAAAGTGCGTATGAAACTAAGCTAAAGCGTTGGATAAATAGGAACATCTGGGTGGATTGCACTGAAAGCAACCTCAAACAAGAAAAAGGGAGCGCAAGAGAAAGAGACAAGAAAAAAAAAAGTAGGGGAAGCTTCGTCCAGCCTTCGCCCGAGCAAAACGCGGTATTCAAATTTCGAAAAACAAAGATCAAAACCCGGAATCGCTCACTATTCAATCCAAGCGACAGCGAATAGGACCTCGATCGACTCCACTTCCCAAGCTCGATGGATCGCTTGCAGCTGCAACTGTATGCCTTCTCTCTTCGTCCTCAGTTCTAAAGAGTTGAAAACTCTATCCCTACAGCTCTGAACTCGCTGCCGAGATCCTCTCAAGAAATTTCTCGGGCCTCTAGGACGACGATAACAGGAGAGGTGCGAGAGAATACGAGCCAGCTAAAGAGAGAGAGAGATAGAAGAAGAAGAAGGCCCAGAGATTGAGAAGCTTCCGCGCAACTTCCCTTCAAAAACTGAAATCCTATATATGGCAAGGGAATTCTATCCCATATTTAGAAAATGTTCAAACTAATGCTCTGAGAGCCTGTTTACAAACTTAAACGTTGATTTGTTGTCCAAATAACCCCAACTAAATAAATAGTTATTATTATTATTATTGGTATTTATTAATTTGTTAAATATGAAATAACCCCCACTGTACGTCTGCGAATGTGAATTATTTAATTCTGCCCGCTAATTGCGTCCATTAACTGATGAATTACTAAAACACGGTGAAAAGTAAATTTTAAATATATTTGTTTTGTGAGAGGGGGGGTGGAGTGAATTTTAAATATATATATTTGTAACATAAAAACAAAAGTATGAATTGTCATATCATGGCATGACTCATGCACGAATTTCCTTTGCTTCCCAATGGGTGACGCGTAACCCAATTCCGTGCTTCATCTGCAGTACGGCGTTAGGTGTCAAAATCAAGGAGTGTTGTTTAGCTTAAGATTTAGGTTTAGTGTTGTACAAATTTTTTATTACTTAAAAAAAAAAAAAAAAAAAATTTATACACAACTCTCCTTGGCCTATTGGTTGGAAGATTAGACTTCCAACTAAGAGGTTCAGGGTTCGAGTCTATGTATATGCGTTGTGTGTGTAAGTTTGCCTTAAATGGCCTAAATGTCAAAAAAAAAAAATTATTATTAAGTTAAAATCAAGATTAAAATTTTGTACTAAAATTTTATTTAAAAAAATAATAATAAAATCATACTAAACGAAATCTTAGATTTCATTTGGGACGACTTTTTTTATTATTTCTTATAACAAAATATTAGTAAAAAATTTAAAATTTTGAGGTAAACTAAGCTCGCCCAAATTTAGAGGTGTTTTGGTTGCTATTAAAAGAAATGCAATGTAAACAAAATACAGTGGACTTGTTTGGATAATTCTAAAAGTAATTCATAAAATTACTTTTCTTTATTAGTTTGAAGCAAATTTAAGGGTTTATTTGATTTGAAGTGAAGTGCAAAAAAAAATTATAGCCGAGGGAGCTAGTGGTGGTCAATGACCGACAGTGGCTGGGGGTGGCTAGCGATGGCAGGTGCCAGCAATGGTCGAGGTGGCCTGTAGTGGTCAAGGCTCGGCGGTGGACAGTGGCGACAATTATGAAAGTTCGTCAGGCATGTTAAGCCCTTATGAACTAATCTCGATGCTAACTAAGAGGGGGTGAATTGAATATTTAAAACTTCTTTAACTAAAAGAAAAAAAAATTTATATCTTGTAGCATAAACAAATAAATCAATAATAAAAAGATTAATCAGAGATTTCACCCAAGCAGTTAATCATAATAAAAATAAAGTGCGAAAATAATAAAGGAAAAAACACACTAGGTTTATAGTGGTTCCAACTTGACCTACTTCCACTCCTCGGAGGTTCCACTCCTCGGAGGCACCCACTGAGTATTGCATTAAATTTTTAGTGACTCTCATTTTGCCCCAAATCTAGGTGGAGAAGCTCTTACAAAATTACATCAACCTTCCCCGGTGCGGTGGAGTAGACGGGTCCTTTGACACCAAAGAGATCTTCTTCTTCCTAAAACTTCCCTCAAGACGAACATTGAATTTAATGGTACTAAGGTGCAAGCTTGTCGAAGCAACAGTATAAAACCCCCTCCACACTCCCTTGAAACCCCATCCAAGGATCTTCTCCCTCTTTCAAACTCCACCCTTTCATCTCTCCCTTTCAAGTTATCTCTTCAAATTTTCTCTAGAAGAACGAAGCTTCAATGGCTGCAAAAGACACTTACAAAGTGCCTAAATAAAGCTTAAATAAAGGGCTTTGAAAAATCCTAAAAATTAATCTTGGCGGTAAAACTCATCCAGGACAATCGCAGGATCTTCCTATACGATGTGCTTAAAAAGAGGGCTTCAGAAAACCCTAAAACTCTATTTCGGCATAAAATATCGTCTAAGATGATCGAAGAATCGTCTCTTATGATATGCTTAAAAAGAGAGCTTCAGAAAACCCTAAAAATGCAATTCCGGCTCTAAATATCGTCTAGTACGATAGCAGTGTCTTCTAGGAAGATGTGCAAAATTTGACCTGTTAGTCCAGGATGTCACTTGGACAATCACATGGACGATAAGATCAAATTTGTATTGATCATCCAGGACAATATTGTGGATCGTCCTGGATGATTAGAAGAAAAATTATGGTATTCGTCTTTGACAATTTAGGAAAATCAAATATGTCAGCAAATATCGTCCAAGATGATATTATTGAAAATTTTAACCATAATTAGTTCCCTAATCACATGATCAATTTAGGCATGATTGGTATTGATTGTTCAAGATGATCTAGATCATCTGGGACGATTAGAAAAAAAAATTAAATCTTAAATCCTTGCCTAAATTATCATTGGCAGCTGTTTTCTAAGATCATAAAGGATCATCCTAGACGATTCAAAATTGTCTAGTATGATTAGTTCAAAACTTGAACTTCTGGTTTTGACTAGATCTCACTCCCCTGAGTGTGTGTGTGCATGGTCACCAAGCAAGCAAACTCCCTTATAGGACTTAACTCAAGAAATCAAAATTATATCAATGAATATTACAGATCCTTTACAACATAACCTTATTCAACCCAATCTTGAGCTATGATTCTTTATTTATTGTTGCGTGGTATTCCTGAAATATTAGTACAGACACAAACAAATATAGAATGAAAAATACTATGAGATATAAAGATATTTTTTATCATCAAAAATATAAAACTCGTGAGCTCGAGTCACAACAAATTAGTGGTTAGCAGGTGGCTGACGATAAATGTAGTGGTAGGTAGTGGCCAGGGGTAACCGGCAACAATCGGGGGACCAATAGTGGACAATTGTGATCGATGGGTGGCTAGGGATGGCTTGCAATGGACGGTGGGGCAAAGGAAGGCCGACAGGTGGCGGCGTCCGATAGGTGGCTGGCATGACCAACAGATGTGGCAATCAATTGTGGCAATGACAGTGAGTTTCTGGTGTATTTGGAATCACCCAAATATGAGGATTTCCAATTATATTGAGGTTGAACTAAATGGTGAATTCATTTTACTTCAAAATATAACCCTGCATTTTTTTTACTTCAAATCAAAAATCAATATTTTTAAAACATCTGCATACTATACACCCCTTTTGCAGCAAACCAAATAGCCCCTAACTGAGAACATTTTATGTTGCAAGCAGGCTTGCTTGACTACAACCACCCCCACCGCCACCCAGCGCAGGCCAAAACCACCGCCATCAGCAGTCAACCGTCACCACCCTCCGCCTGTCATAGTTACGTTGTCTACTTCCATCGCCACCCATCAGTTGTCGCAATCATCCATTGTCGACCACCATCACCACCTATCCTTGGCCACCATCGTCATCCACAGGCTGCCAACCATTGACGACCACCTCATTCAATATTCTAAGAAAAATTGTTCCTAATCCAATCAAGAAGGATGTCATATTATTAAATATTTATATGGTTATTTTATTTAAAATCTAAAATATAACTCATATGCATGTATAGATAACGAATAATGATAATACAAATGGCAATTTCTAAAAATATAATATTTCTTCTCAGTTTTTATAGAAATTCATATCCTTAGAAATATTAAAAACATTATTTCATCTTCCAATTTTTATATTATATTTGATCCTAATTCCGAATTTTGATGATTTATTTCCATATTTATCATTACTTATAAATAAGCTATTGTTGAAGTTGTGTTTATAATTAAATTTTATTTACAATCATAATAAATAATTAAGCAACTAATCATCATCAATATTAAAAATATCTTTTTACTCCCACTATGTTACCTTTAGTTTGACCTGTTTATTAATGAAAACTACCTACATATATACTCTTATGTATTTTCAGTGTCTGGTAGATAAAATTGATTCAATTTCAGTTCAATTGAATCCAAATCAAGCATTAAAATCATATTTAAAAGCATTAGAATATTAGTTTAAGAACTAAATAGTCTATGGATATTGTGTATCTATAATTATATCAAGCGGCTCGATGAGACAAATCCAACAAGCTTACGATCATTCAATTCTAAAGTCATTAAAGAACTTGAATACTGAAAAAGTAATCAATGATCAATGGGATCAATATAAATTGTTGATGAAATATTTTGGATTTTGACCAAACTTACTAAAGTATTCTTTCCCTATATCTAATAAAGGGCTTTGTTTTCTACATGGGGTTTCAGAAGTTGAAAGAGAAGTGTAATAGCTCAAACGCTTAACTATCGATATATTATCTACTTTGGCCTAAGGGTCTTACAGTTTTTTCATGTTAGTGTAACTTCCCAAAAGGTTACCCATCCCAAGATTTCTCCAAGATGAGCATGCTTAATTGTGTAGTTTCTTAATAAAATTCCAACTATTACATAAAAAGGTACCTTGATGTTTAAAAGTTTAACTTCTTTTTACTTAACGGGTTTCACAATATCCCCACTTAATTAACTGGCATCAGCCAGTATCTTTATCCTAGAATAATCCACCATATAGATAGGCTTTTAGAGGTGGACCCTACAAGTTCAAGCGGTGACTGCCGCCACGTAGCACTTTATCTCATATATGCTTCAAGAGGTGGCTCCCAAAGTGTAGCACTTTGTCATGTATGCCACTTAGTTCTCAACTTTTGGCTGGTGTATTACTTTGATACCATTTGTAACAATTCAAACTCTTAACTATCAAGATATTGTCCACTTTGGCCTATGGGCCTAATAGTTTTGTCCTATTAGTCTAACATCCTAAGAGGTCACCCATCCTGGATTTCTCTGAGATGAGCATGCTTAAATGCGAAGTTTCTTGATGAAATTTTAACCATTACACCAAAAGATGCCTCAATATTTAAAAGTTTAGCTTCTTTTTATTTAATAGGTTTCACAATAAGATTGTACTGCATTGCTCGATGATTGTTATTAGTGTCCAACATTAGCAACCATCACCTGAATTCATTCATTTTATTATTATCATCTGAGGACTAACATCTAACCCATCCACTTGTTGGCATTTGACATATATAATCCTTAAT